AGTGACACCATTGTCGAATGCTGCGTTAGTGGCTGTGTTGGCAGCTGCAACAGCCACTGATCGTGACTTTCCGGAACGATGGCCGCGAGATGTCTAAAAAAACAGATAACAGGAGCATACTTCACCTATAACTACGGCAAAAATAAGCTCATCGAAGAGGAATTATATCTATGGCCTAGGATAACTGTAGATTGTGTTATTCGACTGCATCAACACACAAAGAGTAAGTGAATGCAAAGCCTCGTAGAGTTTTATATATACATAAAAAGTCAGGAATAGGAGAGGCAGCCGAAGCGGATACATGAATATACCTAAAGGAGCTTAGAGTAAGCCGTCGTAAAGACTAGGGGGAAAAGCTAAAAAATACGGACCTACCCTATTCAGTTTGGGCTTAATGTCATGATATACGTGTTTAGTTCAATGAACCTAAACATCAAACATAGATCGACAGCAAACATTATAAAGAATTCGCCGATTAAAGGCGATAATATGAATGCCGTATTATAATGCTATGGAAGACAAGGCAATCATTTAAAAACTATGAGATGTAACCTTTGGAAAAGCTTTTTACCAACTTATAGCAACCTGATTTACACACAGTCAGGCTTTATTCTATCCTCATGACAGTGATCCTGGTTTATAAAGCGCTGCTAATAGGCTATTAATACTAGGCATCTCGTTGCTTGATCATGCAACGTTCAAATTTTGCAGTGAATTTTAATGTACAAATAACTCTCTAGTGAGGTCAATAAAAAAGGAAGCTAACGGAGGAACGTTCGAGTATAATATACAAAGATCAAATGTTATTCCATTGTGGCGCATTTTTGCCCTGTTTAAATAATGAACGATAAGCTAGTTAGAAATATATATTTTTAAAATGGTATAAATCAATTGCATTAAAAAAGACAAATTAGCATTTTAAAACTTATATTTGTACATTAAAAATTCATAGGCTCTGGAATGATGCAGGTGGAAGATCAAAGTAACGAAATGAATAAAGTTTTAATAAGTGAAAGCAAACAGAATTGAAAAAATGTTACTAATTTGTTAACAATAGAGGCAAGAAAGGTAATAGAAGGAGAAGAGATGTATGATTAAATTGTAGCGAAGAAATACCGATAAAAGAACAATACGATAGCCGATAAAATAAAAATATGGCTAGGATATTACAAAAAGCAAGAATTAAAAAGGAAGAATGAATAAAATGAAATAAAAGAATAGCCAGAATCGAATCTATATATATATATATATATATGTATTTATGTATATATACATAAGGCAATCAACAATACTTAGAGATTAATTTATTTATACATACATTTGATACATTTTGATCAAATCTCACAATTACACAGTCAAAAGAAGTAAATGAAAGGGATCAGAAGGGATCAGAGGACACAAAAGAATTATAGATAGTGTCATATAGAAAGTGAAAATGGAAAGGATAGAAATAACCAAGTGATACAAAGGACCATAGACTAGAAGCCACAAAAAAGCTAGGGATGACGAAAATAAGAAAGCTGCTGGTGGTCGAAACAAAGCATTATAAAAAGCGATTAGTCATTTGCAGTCGAAAGTTCTTGGTCGACAAGGCTTAATGAGGCCGAGGGACTAACTGGAGGATCTATGAGATCTGATAAAAGAGGAGAGGGAACAGACGTAAAAGTGGGTATAACAGCCGAGACTCGTTTTATTTGAGGGGTCAAATAAGTAGCCATCGAGCTGCTGAAAGTTGACATGAGAGAAGTTGCCATCTGCCAAGCACTGCGACTCGAATTTAGACCGGAAGGCTGCGAAGACAGAGCCACCGGTTGTTCGAGGACTCTATAGTTGCCGGATGCATACACTACAGAATCATGAATCTGATCGGAGTGTGGCTGAGGCCCCGTATTCGTTTCGACTGGATGAGCCAGCAAATGAGTTGTCACCGCTTCGGTTGTTAGTCCTATAGTCTGTGAATCATCGAGATCCCCGTCACTAGTCTGGCAGCTGGGAAAGTTACGATTAGTGACGTCACTATTGGTGGTAGTAAAATTAATGAGAGGTAAGCCCAAAACAGCTGACACCACTACACCGGAAGGAAGGCAATCGATAGGGATCTCAGGACATGCTGTTGATGAAAATATGGGGGCTGATGCAGAAGAAGTAATGGACAAATTTAAGCCAAAATATATCATACATGCAATAAAAATGTAGATAAAAAACAAGAATAGAAGATATGAAGACCAAGATGGTGTGGCCTCTTGTGTGGTCGCAGTCTCCTTTCGTTGTATTGAAGTTGTTTGACCTTTTTTTGCAGCTTGGTCACATTGGTAGGAAGACATTGAGGAACACACCTTGTACTGAGTCCATTGTATGCATAATCATTTCCAAAGTCGGACCGTGAACGTGGTACATTTCCAGACGTTTCGTCGGCATCGTAGTCGACATCGTCAGTAAGTTTTACCATTCGTAGCACTATATTACAAGTCGTCAAAGAGACAAGTAAAGCCGATCCTTCGACCAAACGCTCGCTTAACAGTTATGGTATCTCCTTAACTGCCCTAGCCTATTCATATTTCCTATATCCTCTTATCACGCCTTCACCATCACAATTTTTTACTTGCTTAATTAAATGTAGAACGGTGTGCCCTTTTTAGAGGCTTTCATGAGAACTCTCCGCACTCTACGCTGGCCTTCTCACCGCCCTCTATACTTGTGCTGGGAATGTGGATCGGAGTTTGCCATATTGTTACGCAGTCCTCCTTCCCTAGGTCTTACCCCAGTCTCTCTCTTGC